TGTTTTTTAATCATCGGTCCGTTCCTTGTAGAAAATTGTTGGGACTTGGAAGATATGTTATCTTTATCGAGAACTGAGATGAGATGTTGTTACTAGTGAATGGGTAGAATTAAGAAAAATGAATTCATGAGAAGTAAAGGAAATTATACTGAGGTGATTTAATCTGATGGGATGACAATTGAATGATTGGCTATGAATAACACTCTCTCTTATTCTCCGTTGTTTACGTTTTCATGATTCTGTGCTCTGATATTGCTCGCAATCAGTTATATCTAAAGACATGTATTGGCAGGGATTTGGCTGAGACAGAGTAAAGACATATCCGATTTCCACTAGATTATGACACTGATATGGTGACCTTCGAAATAAGATGTGTGGTATTCTACAGAATATTATGAATTCCCTTTCTTTGATTAATCTCATTTGTTTACTGATAACAAGTCAAATCTGGTAGGAGGGTTAATATTGTATGTCTAAGTGCATATTCTTTATAAAATAAAACCATGCAGGCTCATGATTTTGAACCTCCTAAGCAAGTATCCAAATCTTCTGAGGGCTCAATGAATATTCATCATATGTCCTGATATATTAATGCATTGCACAGTTTAGCTAATTGTTGCTGCATTTCTTTGGTGCTAACAGGAAGATTTGAATTATCTTTGGAAATTAGGAGCTGGTTCTGTTGTAGGTGCAGCTATAATAAAGTACGGAAGCATCCTTTTTCCGGAGATTACCAGACCAAACATCTTACAGGCTTTGGTCATGATATCAACACCAGTTATTATTGCTGTTTTATTGTTGATAAAGCAAAGTCGTGTTGAGCAATGAAGGGCGAGAGCTGCCAATAGTACTTTATGTAATCTGTTGGTTCTAGAGAATTTCTATTAACATTTATGCAGTTGCAAATGAATTGCTCAAGTTTGTGATTGAAGTTGAGCTGAACATAGAGTGATAATTGAAGAACCCAAGTGCGCTTTCAAAATATTCAAACATTAATATAGGTATCAGCCACATCTTAAAGATTTTCATTCGGTCTCTCCTTTGTGATGACTTTGCATGTTGCTGGTTGAGTTCCTTCTCAGCTGGTTAAAGGTTACTGGTACTTTTAATCTCTTTCCGTCCAATTTTTAGCTATCGTAATAGGTGTGAACCAAGCAAAGGTACAGGTTTTCAGTAACAAACTAGGAAGATAGCAAAGTAGTATGAAAGGAAAAGTTACATTTGGGTTTGGTTATGATTCTGTGAATGATGATGATAAAGTAGTTACGGTATCTTCTTTGCGTTATGAAGGGCAGTATTATGATTTGAACCAAGCAGATATGTAGAGGGTTAGCAAGGAATTCCTGGAAACTATTATATTATGCATATTTTAGTGAACTTTAAAACTATTTGCAGCCCCTTATTTTGGTGCCATGAATTTATCCAACAGGCTCTGCATCTTCCATTCTCCATTCTGTATTAGTAATTTCTTTATAACAAATTTACAATTAAAAAAATTTAACAGGCAGAAATTGATAACTACATTAGGCTGTTAGCCTTTTATCTTGTTGATGTCAGTAGTGAAAATTGGTTACATACATCATCTTATATTCAAGCAGTTAAAATTTGCTTATATATTTTGAATATTATTAGTATACTTCCATATGATTGTGCATTACATGAGTTAAAAAGAGTTTGTGTATTAGTATTTTTTTTTGTTCTATCATATAAATTAGCATATTTCAATAATTAAAATTTAATATTTTAATTTAAAAATCTCAAATTTGAAATTTTCTATAAGTCTTATTTAATATTTTACTAAAAGAAAAAGGCACACATAAAGAAAAAACAAAGGCAAAAGACTTATGAAGTGGTAGTATATTAGTATGGTCATTAGTCTACATTATACTCTTTTATAAGATTATGACTCTAGCATTTCTTTAATGGATACCTAAATATGAGCCGGCCCGGTCCAACCCGGCCCTAGCCCTTGTGGGTTGAAAAAATATGGGCAGGGCCGGGCCAGCTCATATTTTATATGGGCAGGGCCGGGCCAGCCCATATTCTACTCTATCCTCAGCCTATAAAAAATATGTGTTTGTACATAAGAGTCTTATGTTTCTTTCTCCACGGTTTTGTTGGGTTTAGGGTCTTATAAATTCTTGTACCAAGAATGAACGCTCTTCAACAACTTATTCTTCGAAGAACAGATACCCAGGATGATGTAAGTAAGGAAAGCAAATACATTGATTCCTCTAAATTCTTTGTTTTTTTTTTGTTTTTGGGGGTTTTTTTAATTAAAATTCTATATGTTTAATTGAAAAGCTTGATAGGTTCATACCAAATAGGTCAGCGATGGACCTTGACTATGCCCATGCCATGCTGACACAAGGGAGAAAAATGATAGAGAAAACGGATAATATCCGTTCCCCATCTAGGGAAGCTTACCAGAAGCGGTTAGCTGAGGCCCTGAATATGAATCAGACCAGAATCTTGGCATTCAAGAATAAGCGACCCATGTCGGGTCGTGATACGATCCGCTGTGAAATGGGTTCCCAACCCACCAAGAAAAGGCGGTACATCAGTCAGGTCCTTCTTTGCTCTAGCCTTTCACTAATTTTTGAAACAATTTGGTGCATATTCTTGTGGCAATTTGAAACGTTTGAATAGATATAGCTATCGTTTGTTTGTATGTTTTTTTGAAAATGTAAAATTGGAAAATGTAAGCAGATAGTTAAAAATTAAAAATTGTAATTTTCTTCTTTTGAAAAATATAATTTATGAAGAAAAAAATTAACAATTGAATGGTTTAGTGATGGGATTAGGGGTAGCACCTAGCCTTTGACGTTTGAAGAAGATTTAATTTAGACATGTGTTTTGTCTAATAGTTTGTTTTGGGATTTGATTTTGCAGACTTCAGAGAGGACACTTGATGCCCCTGAAATTTTGGATGATTTTTCCTTGAATTTACTTGATTGGGGATGTAACAACGTGCTTGCAATTGCCCTAAATGACATAGTATATCTGTGGGATGCTTCAAATGGTTCTGCCTCTGAACTTGTCACTGTTAACTCTGACGATGGTCCTATTACAAGTGTAAGCTGGGCGCCCGATGGACGGCACATTGCAGTTGGCCTGAATAATTCTCATGTTCAACTGTGGGATTGTCAAGTTAAGAGACAGGTTTGTCTTATTTTTCTGATTCTTTTTTCTTTCTGTTGGTGATGTTTTAAGCATGTTTTTTTCTATTTTTTTATTTTTGGGGGATCTTTCCTGTTAATTATGCAGCTAAGAACATTGAGAGGTGGTCATCGTCATGGGACACGAGTGAATGCATTAGCTTGGAACAATCACATTCTTACAACTGGAGGAATGGATGCTAGAGTTATCAACAATGATTTTAGGGTACGAGAACACACTGTTGAATGCTACACGGGACATCAGTTGGAGGTTTGTAGCCTGAAATGGTCTTCCTCAGGCCAACAGTTGGCTAGTGGAGGCAATGACAATCTGCTTTTTATCTGGGACAGATTCATGGCCTCTTCAAATTCCAGAACACAGTGGCTACACAAGCTTGATGACCACACAGCTGCTGTGAAAGCCCTTGCTTGGTGCCCATTTCAGAGAAATTTGTTAGCCTCAGGAGGCAGTAGGAGTGATCAATGCATTAGATTTTGGAACACGCACACAGGTGCTTGCTTGAATTCAGTTGACACTGGTTCAGAGGTCTGTGCTCTTTTGTGGAATAAGCATGAGCGTGAGCTTCTTAGCAGTCATGGTTTTCCAGATAATCAGCTCATTTTATGGAAATATCCTTCCATGAAAAAGATAGCAGAACTCTTTGGCCACACATCGAGAGCACTTTACATGGCTGAGGTACTATATTGAATTGATTAATTTTTTAGTTTTATGTTGATTTTTATCTTTTGCTTTTATATGTGTAGTTGTCTTTTTTTTTTTTTTTTGCTTTGACAAATTTCATATTTTCCTTCTAGAGTCCAAATGGATGCACTGTGGCAACTGCAGCAGGGGATGAGAGACTGCAGTTGTGGAATGTGTTTGGGACTCCTGAAGTGGCTAAGCTGGCAGCAAAACTGGAGCCTGAGCCATTCGCTAATATATCTCGTATTCGGTGAGCATTTGAAAAATAATACAAGAGGTTCCCATCTCTCCATTAATTAAGGTGTAGATGAGGATATTTTGTGTAAAGAAGCAGCATATAAAGTTCATCGGTCTGTGTGAAAATGTGTTTAAGTTGTGGAAAGCAATTTTTCCCTGTAAAATCTCATATAACCATATGTTTGTAACATTATATTTGTAGTTTATAGAATCAACCAATTCATGTAGTTTAGGCAATTTTTCCCTGTAAAAATCTCATAGAAACCATATGTTGTAACTATTACATGCATAGTTTATAGAATCATCCAGTTTATGTTTTACAGTGTTCCATCAATAAATTTTTTGGTTTTAATGTGTTGGGACCTGCTCCATTGACTGCAATATAAGGAAAACATGAAAGAGGGGCATTACTTGGGAGCTTTGGATTCTTGTTTTTTTTTTTTTTTTTTGAAAATGGGATTCTTGTTTTCTGGTGAATGAGGTGTGAGCTTGTGATGAATGCCTCTTTCAATGTGGTTGTTATTAATTTGATTTAATTATACTAAATATTAGATGGTTGTGTATGATTTTTTATAACTGAATAGCTATTAAGTATAATGAAACCCAGGGCCCATGTGTATTTCCTTGTTTCTTAACTGAAAGGTGAAGACTCCACCTACTGAGAACATGCACACAGGCATTTGTTAAAACATGGTTTAAGGATCCCCAACTGAATGGCAGGAAGGACTTGTGCAGTGAAGATGAAGTGGCACTTGCAATTTAAAACAGAAGAAAATGATTAGAAATTGGCCACAAGCCTACAACATGTGTTCAACTTTGAGCTTGAAATCTTCAAATTGTTAGAAAGATCAAAAAGCAAGGTCAAGGGTACTTTCAGGAAACATAAGCTTCATCATTATTCTGTTTTTCAATATGCTAGAAAAAGCCATCCAACTGATCCAGATACCACCTCCATTATTTATTCTGTTCCTATATTTGCATTTCCTTTTCTCCAACAATGCATGCATAAAAAAAAAAAATTAACAGCTAGAAAAATAAGTTGATCAGTACATGATAACATGAATATAGCCTTTACACAGAAAGGAAATTCCAATCTTAATGTGAAAGGTCAAAATGTCAGGGCAAAGGGCAAAGGCCCAGAATAAAACCCTAAAGCCTGTTCAACAAATATTGGTAGAACCCATTCTTATGATACTTGATTAGAACATGGTAACATGAATATAGAGCTAAGAAACCAAACCAATTTTTATCCACATGAGTTTGAAACAAATCCTTCTGTTCTACGCCAAAGTATTGAAGGAAAATGACTCCTGATCCTATGGTGAGATACTTAGTAATATGTCAAACGTAAAGACGTTTGAAAGTAAATCTATAGTGAGACATTTAGTAATATGTCAAACTGTAAAAGAAGATAGAAAGTGTCTATGCTATCTGGTAATACGTGGTTGCACAATGCACTAAGATTAGCGCAATGACATCAGTGTGCGGACTTTCTTCTGTCTTTCTGCTTTCTTGGCAGTGGGAGTCCTCTTCATTTTCTGTAATTCTCCAACACAGCTTTCTCTACAGTGTCAATTGAGTTCAAGAGTTTCTTTTGGGTAAGAATCTCTGATTCCTCAATACCATCCACTCTATTTCAGCTCAAATCCTATGTAGTCCAACAACTCTGAAGCTAATAGGCTTGTCCGCAAAATAGACAACCAAAGAAATATGAGAAATTTCTTTCCAACTTTGACAGACACAGAATACAAAGGTAAATTCCGCCATTCTATTGGTGTGGAGTTGAGCACCTAATCTAATGTGGATAAGAACTTTTACATTTGGTGAAAGAATAGGGAACTGAAGCAATATATCAGATCGAAATCTACATAGCATAAGATTAACAGGCATATGAGCCATGCACTATAAGAAGCCCGAAAACAGAGAGAATTACAAAAGCCTTACAGGAAAATAGACTATGGGTATAAACAAGCACTAAGGAAGCCTAAAGGTACACTTGACAAAAGAAGACAATTACATGAACATCTAACAGTTTAGGACTCCAAGGACGTTTGAACAAAGGTAAATGAGTGGATAAAAACCCACACCTGAGAAAGTAAAATGGAGCTCATTCAAGCAAGCAACTTCTATAATACTACAACATTCAGCAATCATTTAACATATTTGAAATAAGAGCAAAAAGACAGTAAATACCAAAATCGGCAGTTGAATAATCATAATGGCAAGAATCTCTTTATCAAAAGTAACTCGTGCAGTTCAAAATAAACCAACCAAAATTTTCCTTTTAGCGGTGAACATAGAAAACAAAGAAACAGATCAAAATACAGAATCAAAACAATAAGTAAAAATGGCACCACGAAAAAAAAAAAAAGGGAAAGAGCAAGCATTACCCTTACAACAGCAGTAATATCACGGAGAGGAGTCTTCTTACCAAGAAGGTAACACACTGCCCCTTCCACGGCCCATGGCAGTCACAGACACCGGAGTATCTCTTTTCCGGGTGAAGATTCCGGCTACTTCTAATCCCTGACCTTGGGGTCCCAAAACTGCTGCCCCTGCGGAGCCCTCCATCAGACGTAGTTACAGCAACTCCATTGGCCTACTGTAACTGCTCGTTGAACAGGGAGCGTAACAACTCCCGTGATTCATCAGAGAGAATTGCCAAAGGCCAGACCGGCTGTGAGCGAAGACTTGTGCTATATCAACTGCTCTCGTGATTCTGTCTCTTGGCTCCGCCATTGCATATCGGTCCAACTGACTGAAAAAAGAAAAAAGCAAAAGAACATGGGTATCAGGAATCTCCAAGAAAGATGGAAAATGAGAAAGAAGAAAAAAGAATAAGAAAAGGGGTTGGGTTAGTTAGTTTTATTTACCTTTTCGAAGAAATGGAGTCTTCTCGATAGGGTTTGACGGTGACGAAGGGTCTCTCAGCAGAGGATAAAAGGAGAGAAAGAGAGAGAGCTTTGCTGCTTGGGGGAGAGGCGACTTTGGCAAATATTTCCAAATGAAAAATAGGGGGCATTATAGGGAAAGGGGTTTCCAAATGCACGTGCATGCGCTTTTTCAATTTTCAAACTTTGGGTTTAGGCGCTTAAGCGCAGGTCATCTTTGATTGCTAAGATTACTCTTTTGCCCTCCTCCGAGTTGAGAACTTGAGATCCTAATGATATTTCAATGATTGATTTAGTTCAAAAAAACAGGTAAGTTAGACATTACTATTAGTAAATAAAATAATTATAAATAAAATTTTACTTTTATACATTAAATAAAAATAATAATACATTCGAGTATTTTAGTTATTAATTAATTAATATATAATTTTTAAAAAAAAATTGAATGTTTGACATTCCTATGGAAAGTTAAAATGTTTAAAATAGATATGATGATAAAAAATAAAAAATTAGACATTTGTAATACTATTTAAGTAAATTGATATTAGTATTAAAAGATGGTAATACTATATATATGAATAGATTAATCCAAAAAGAAAGAGGAATAGTTTTATAAACCTAATATAAGCATTACAAAAAATAAATAATTTTTAAGTACTTCCATTTTCATAATCTGTTGAATTATTTAATTCACTTTCTCCATGATGCATTTCTTGCAGCTCACTAGTATTCTCATAATCCATGAAGTCTGCATCATCTCAGCCTGAATGCTCTTGCCATGGAAATTTCCATCCATATATAAATATAAAGATAATTATATAAAATATCTAATTAGAGCTATTACACAACACTATTACCTAAGTACACTATAATATCTAATTAATGTTATAATACAGTACTGTCAATTAGTTAAAGTTATATTATAAATAGGATTGGTATGATATATAATTTTCTTTTGTAACATACACAATTTAAATGGATTATGCAGTAAAAGTTTTGCAAATTTATAGGCATCAAAACTTGGTGTGTTAAGTTGAAATTCACAGTGATAACCTGAATTAGAGAACACTCCAATTCAGCCCGATATTAGTGTGTTAAGTTGTCATTCCAGCTGCTATCAAGTACAACTTAAACAAATCTTGGCTTGATTTCAAGTGATTCTCTGTTCCTGCAAAGATGGAAATATCCATAATCACAAAATTAATTAGTGTGCAGTACAGCTTTCTCCATGACTCTGAAGGCTTCTGCACTTGAAAGATACCAAATAAGTTATATCTGGCTGTTGTGTCAGCAGCTTCCCTTTGTGGTACATCCAGACAAAAGCAGGATTTCAACTCTCTCGTACATATCTTTTAAGTGGTACTAGATCAGCAGCCAGAGCAATATACCTGTTCATTATCATTTGTTTTTTTTTTTTAGATCTAACAGATCAGCAACCAGAGCAATATACTTGTTCATTATCAAGTACAGGCCTGCCTTCACGTCAGCAACACCAATCATTGTCCATGAAGGTATCTCCTGAATGATTCCCAGATTTAGACAATTGACTCACTTAAAGTAAATTGAATTTATAAGATGGTACAAATAAAACATTGTAAGAGAGATTTGAAGTGTCCCTATATGTATAACTAGTGCTTTGGCATTGTTGGGCAGCTCTACAAAAACTCCTTGGATTGATTTATAAGTGGTGAAACAATGTAGAGAACATGCTACATGATCAGTTGCCCCCGTGTCCACAATCCAAGACTTATGGTTAAATATGAAAGCATTATCGATGTTATGTGATGTGAAAAAACAATTATGATTTTGAGAGAATTGAGTTTTTAAGATTATACCACAAACTTTTGAGTTGACAATGGAAGGTTGCGATGAACTAGCAATAGAATGACTCTTCTGATGATGAGCTCTTATTTTGTGAATTATAGCCTTTGAAAGTTGAGTTCACTATGACATGTTTTACTGGGTTTGCTGGTGTATCATCAGTGTTACCCATAGCGTGTTCATTGAGAAGAACCATGAACCTTTGAAATTGTCCTTTGGTCTAAGAGTAATTAGATATGGGACTGCCTTCTTGTTCCTCTTGATGTTCAACTTGTGGCTGATTAGCTGAGTTAGTGAGTGTTGACATAGCTTTTCTGATATTGTTTCCTTTCCCTTTTGTGAACTTAAAGTAAGGGAGAAAACCAATGATACGGTAGCATTTATCTTTGACATGCCCATTCTTGCCACAATGTGAACATGTGACATCATTCTTAGGCCTTCTCTTACTCTTATCACTGCTGCAATAGTAGTTGTCTCCAACAAGCTTGATTTTGCATCAATATTGACCTCTGGGACTCTTTATCTAAAGGCTCCGTTGTAGGCTTCATCTAAGCTTGGGAAAGGTTTTATCATGATCATATTAAACCTAAGAGCTGAAAAGCTATCATTAAAGCCCATTACGGAATCTAAATACCATATCCTTCTCCCATAGCTCAATATAGTTTTTAA